TTTCTTTTTTTGGTAGTGGGGAGCAAACTTGGGACCTTGTACTTGCAAAGGTAGGCAGCAGCACCAGTGAGCTGAATCCCTGGCCCTGCTTTGTACAATTGTTGTGAGAGTAGTTATCCACAGGCCCAGCAGCACATGCTTCCCAGGGGCACATGGGTAACTGACCAGACCCCTCAGGGACCATTGCAGCAGGTATGAGTAGTTACTGTCTCTTGCTGCCTTGCTGAATTACTATTTTGGCTGCTGAATCCTGTACTTGTGCAATAACAATGTATAGATTTCTGTTACTATTTTACATCATTTCTAGTCAGCTAAGAAAGAATAGTTGGATCTTAATTATACTTACACATCTGCTTTATTTTCCTAGATGGTTCAGAACTTTCAAGATGAGAGTTGTTTTTTATTCTCCACAGTAAAAGGTACTTTGTATGTGTCTGTCTTGAAGTGCTGGGCTCAGGAAAGATAGTGTGTGCCTATAATTAATAGCCATTTTGTGTGCTTACTCTTGAAAATGCTGGCTTTACTAAGACAGTTTAAAGCTGGGCATGGTGGCGCACACCTGTAATCCCAGCACTTGGGAGGCTGAGGCAGGAGGATTGCTGTGAGTTCAAGACCAGCCTGGGCTACATAATGAGTTCCAGGTCAGTCTCAACTACATAGTGAGACCCTGTCTCAAAAAAAAAAAAGAAGACTGTTTGAAAAATGTAAAGTATTTCTAATGGTTGTAATCTAACAAATGTAGGAGTCAGTCCATCCAACCCAACATTTTATTGAGCACTTTGTGTCAGGCACTGTGGGTTGTGGTGCTCAGTGGGTCTTTTAACTAATTAATTAATTAATTTTGGTGTTTGTGGTTTTTTTTTTTTTTTTTTTTTTTTTTTTTTTTTTTTTTTGAGACAGGGTCTCACTGTGTAGTTGAGACCGACCTGGACCTCACTATGCAGCCCAGGCTGGCCTTGAACTCACAGTGATCCTCCTGCCTCAGCCTCCCGAGTGCTGGGATTACAGGAGTGCGCCACCACGCCCAGCTAATTAATTATTTTTGAGATGGGGGAGTCTTGCTATGTAGTTCAAACTGGCCTTGAATTTGAGATGATTCTCCTGCCTCAGCCCTGATTGCTAGGATTGAAGGCGTGTGTCACCACCATGCCCAGCTCAATGGGTCACAAACATAACAGTCCATGGAATTTCCACTCTAGTGGAGAAAGAAACCAAATTTGGCCACAAATAGACCAAATTACCAGTATTTGAAGTTTTGGGTGGGTGTGTGTGTGTGTGTGTGTGTGTGTGTGTGTGTGTGTGTGCCGGGCAGGGGGGGACGAC